GTTAAGAACTTTACATGCAGCAAAATATAAAATGTTCAAGGAGGTAAAATGTATGATAATAAAAAATATAATAAAATAAAATAAATAATGGGTTTCTCTCTGACAGTTAAGACACAAGACAACTGAATCGATGCAACAATATAAAATATAAAACCCCAGAAAACATAGTGAACATATAGGTACAAAAGAAATACAAATAAAAAGATAATAGCAATAAAAATGCCATAATTCTAATAAAGGTTAAACGATTTAGAAATAAATAAAAAAGACCAACGTAAAAAGAAATATTGCTATTGAAGCATGTTAGATCAATAAAATAAGATATAAGATTGTCTGATGTCTTTCCTCAGGGAATGCTGGGAACCCAGGACCTCGGTCAGGTGTATTTTGAGCCAATCAAAGACAAGCATGGTAACGCCCTGCTGGTGCTGCTGAAGGACATGAGTTCCTCTCCTAACCTGGACGGGGTTCGCTGGACGCAGCTCTGCAAACTCCAGCTCCAACGCAAGTCCATCTCGTCCCCCGAGGAGCCCAGCGCTCTGGACATGCTTCTCATCACGCTCCATGTGAGTCCTGCAGGAAGAGACGCGCAGCCATTGGTTTTCTGCTTTTGTTTTGGAGACAGGCTGCTGGAATGGGTTTGTCAGCAGCGGTTGTGGTTTCTATCAGGCTCATTCTTTGCATTCTTGTGTTACCCGGAGATTTAGCAAGATGAAACAGCGTGGTGCAATGCACTTTGTCAACAACAAAATGTCCCAAAAACGCTGGAAAACATTCATCTATTGGTATCGCTTTAATGTTTGTTTAACTCTCATTCGCGGAGAACCAGTAAACAACGGCCAAAACAATAGGACTGTTATTTACAATGTGCTTCCAATTATGAGTGCTGCTTATGTAGACACTCTTTATTTGGACAAAGATTAATCATCATGACTCCCCTTTTCCATTTGTCACCTTCTTTGTGAAGACGCATATTGAATAAGCTTGCCAACGAATAAATTAAAAGTCAAATCTTTAATCCATTAATCCTCTCAGTCACTTTATCTTTAAAAGCTGCTCATTCAGGCAGTGAAAATTGGAAAGTGACATTTGAATTTCAGCATTGTGGGCTGATGGTAATCTGTCTAATTGTTGTTGTTTTGTGTTCTGTAACAAATGCTTTGTGGCTGTTTTGTTCAGAGCAACCACAATCTGGAACCTAACCACAAGTTGATTTTGTCTATGTAGCCCGATAAACTTGATACCATTGTTGCAGTGCCGTTTTGTCTCCAGTGTGAGTTGGTTTGTCCTTGTGGTTAGAATACAATGGTGGAGCCACCCCCTGGCAAAACCACATTTCACTGAAATATTTGTTTTGTGGCCAGTTATGAACAAATTGTATGATGAGATACATAGAAATGTGCTGGTGGGCTATTCTGCCGTGCTGACTTCCACTTTAAACATGTCGGAACAACTTTAGACTGAAGCCTTTTAAACAGTAACAACAGCAAAGCATACAAATACATCATTTAGTTGAATGTGAGGTTATTTAAAGAGGCACAATTAGAATCTGTATCCCCACACAATCATACCATCCTCTCACTCACTCGCTCTGTACCTGCTGTCCCCAGGAGAAGCTGGCGTATCACAGGCGGAGCAGGAAGGTGTTGGCCCCCGGATTATACCTGGGCTACCTGAAGCTGTGTACCTCAGTGGAGCAGATCAGAGTGCTGGTGCCTCAGAAGCTCCCCAACGTCCTCTGTCACACCAAAATTCGGGACAACAGCAACGTGTCCAGGTGGGGATCATACTGTGTGCCATTCTAAGGAATCCTCCAAATGTGTATGTCAATTACTAAACCAGCGTAAGGGTTAGGAACTGTTTCAAACAGTCAAGTTATTGGGCAATGCTGGTGTTTGGGAAGTAGTAACCACACGACTGGTTCAATGAGACTTTGATTACACTGCAGGAGTTGTGATAGAGTTTGTAAACAGATGATTAGTTAACGTTTTGCTGCTGTTTAACGCAGCCCACATTTACTTAAACGTCTCTGTTTATTGATTGTTCATTTACCATGAAGGCATGCAAGAAAAACAAAGTTGTCTTCAAGAATTCAAGCTAACATGGGTTGAGTAATTGATATACAAATGATGATTTTGTGGGTGAAGTATTCCTATAATGTGGGTTTTGGATGAGTTTTGACCAGAAGGCTGAATATACATGCAACACAATGACTGATAGACGTGTGTGTGTGTGTGTGTGTGTGTGTGTGTGTGTGTGTGTGTGTGTGTGTGTGTGTGTGTGTAGAGAGGAGTGGCAGTGGCTGCAGGCTCTCAGCTCTCTGGAGGAAGCGGTTGAAATGGATAATGAAGAGCAGAGCGCTCCTCATCGCCTCTTACAGGACGTGCGCAGCGCCATCAAGGACCTGATGGCACACATCAATATCCCAGGCAATCAGGTCAGAGTCCATCTGAAACTGTGTGAATCTTTATCCAACGACATAATGATCTTCTGCTGTAAGATTCACAGACTTTACCATAATGCTAAAAATGTGTTTTTGTGTGAACTGATTTTGTCTGATTTCATGGAACCAGTTTAACTCCTCGAATTACTTCCAGCCAAGTCACAGAGGCAGGAACTCAAAGCCATGAAAATGATCCCAATGGATATCCAGCCAGTTGGTTAGACCACTAATTCTACATGATTTCTGTAAAAGAACATGGTTCGAATTCCAGCACAATGGCAATCATTGTCCGATCGACTTTAACCTTTCACCACCCACTGTTCCTACTGGCAGAAAGGACTTCACACACTGCCACGGCTGTACCATAAAAGATTGAATGAATGTGAACATGAATATATATATATGTACCATAGATTACTGATGAAATCTAGAGCTTCAATATATTTGGTTCCAGAAGGGATGGATGTTTCAAAATAGTTTTAAAAACAACAAACATTGATTTAGCAGTACGATTGTTTTACGCTTGACCTTCTTAAAAAAAAAGCCCAACAGTGTAATAGAGATATGCAATAACCCCTTATTACAGCAAACCATGCAGTTGCTGTATTTCTTCAAATCGAGTCTGGTTCTACTTTCTGGATACTTAAGCTAAAACAATGTAGTTCATGGTGGCCTCTGCGTGTGATCCATACCAGGGACTTCTCCTTTACTTCTATCTTTCAAATAAAACCTGTAATGACCTTAAAAATCAATTTGAAACATAAAAGGGAGCTGTCCGTGGGGTCTTAAAAAGTATTAAAAGTTGATATCTTTAGCGAAAATTAAGGCTATTAAAAAGTATTTTAATAGCCTTACATTACATTTTGTAGCTTGTTTTCAATAAGTATATAAATGGTCCAAAGAGGTTGTATTCTACAGTCTGCCTGAAGGTAATCATTGCGTAGGTGTGTAGTGTGATTCTGTGTAGTTTATTTATGGCATCCCGTTGGGTTTGACAGGACAGCTGAACAGGACATCGCACGCTCACTGCTTGATAGCACGCGAAGCTCCGTTTACGCCGGTTGCTAAACAACATCGTTATGGGGAAATGCAAGTTTGCGTCCAAATGGTTGGAAGATAAGGAGAAAGGACAATCAGTACTGTATATAGTCAATGTGAGGTAAAGTGTGTTGCCAAGGTAACCGGTTAAAGCTCAAAGTGGCGATGTGGTCTTAAAATGTGTGGAAAGGGTCTTAAAAAGGTCTTAAAAGGAATTCCATCTGACTTCAGGATTCCTGCATATACCCTGGTCCAGCAAAATTATCTTTATCAAGTTAATATTGAAGAAATAGGACGTTGCATACACATTCCAATAAACCTGTGTGTCTGCGTGCAGGTGCAGGAATTCCGTATCTACAGCCAGGAAGTGGTGGAGTTTGGTGAGAAAGTGTCCTTCCTGCTCCTCCTGCCACCTTCAGATGAAGTGTGCACAGTTCCTGGTCAGAACAACCCATACTCCCCCCGCTCCGGCTTCCTCACCCTGCCCCTCCAGGTCTTTGAACTGGGTCAGTATAGCAGATTTTTTGGCAGAAATAAGAAATTTGACACCAACTGCTGCTTCCAAATCTATATGCTCCCGTATTTACTGACACATCGTTTTGCATTCCTTTTTCTTCCTGTTGGATTCCCTTTTTCTCCCACAGTCCACTTTAATGCTTATTGCCCCAGTTTCATCGGCCAGTACTGCAGAGTGTCTGCGTTGCTGGAGCTGGAGTCCCTCATGTCCCAGCAGGCCCTAAGGGAGGCCTTCTCTGAGACTGAGCTGCATTCTGCCAAGAAGAAACACCAGCAGGTCCAGGAACACATTCAGGTAACACAGCTGGAATTTAAAAACGTTTTACACAGCTGCACCTTTTGTTATGTAATAATATTTGTCCTGGAGATCGATATTTGTTACTGAGCTGAACTACTATGGTGTTGTTGAACAGGAAATGGAGGAAGTGTGGCGGGATGCGAGGTGGATCATGGATGCTCTGCAGTACGCTCGCTACAAGCAGCCCACAGGGGGCATCTCCATAAGTTGGATCATTGACTTCTCCAAGGAAGTGCTCCCTGAGAAACCTCCCTCCACCTCCTCTCAGGCCGACTTCCTGCCCTCCCCGATGCCTTCACCCGAACCCTGCCACAAGCACTCAGGTCAGAATCCACATCTGGCAACAAAAACATTTAGAATTGTGCGGTAATATGATAGTGTTATTAATATAGGATGTTATTCAGATTCAAAGGTTGTATTGTCATATGCACAGAAGCTACAGTGTAGAAATGGCAATGAAATTCTTCTGACCTGAGCTCCTCCAACAATGCAACATACACTGAACAAAAATATAAATGCAACACTTTTGTTTTTGCTCCCATTTTTCATGAGATGATCTCAAAGATCTAAAACATGTTCTACATACACAAAATAACCATTTCTCTCAAATATTGTTCACAAATCTGAAAAAATCTGTGATAGTGAGCACTTCTCCTTTGCTGAGATAATCCATCCCACCTCACAGGTGTGGCATATCAAGATGCTGATTAGACAGCATGATTATTGCACAGGTGTGCCTTAGGCTGGCCACAATAAAAGGCCACTCTGAAACGTGCAGTTTTGCTTTATTGGGGAGGTCTGGGGGGGTCCGAAAACCAGTAGGGTTAAACCCTAACCCTAACATGTCACCCATTGAGCATGTTTGGGATGCTCTGGATCGGCGTATACGACAGCGTGTTCCAGTTCCTGCCAATATCCAGCAACTTCGCACAGCCATTGAAGAGGAGTGGACCAACATTCCACAGGCCACAATCAACAACCTGATCCACTCTATGCGAAGGAGATGTGTTGCACTGTGTGAGGCAAACGGTGGTCACACCAGATACTGACTGGTTTTCGGACCCCCCCAGACCCTGAGGCTGTGCGAAGTTGCTGGATATTGGCAGGAACACGCTGTCGTATACGCAGATCCAGAGCATCCCAAACATGTTAGGGTTAGGGTTAGGGTTTAACCCTAGGGTTTTCGGACCCCCCCAGACCCCCCCAATAAAGCAAACTGCACGTTTCAGAGTGGCCTTTTATTGTGGCCAGCCTAAGGCACACCTGTGCAATAATCATGCTGTCTAATCAGCATCTTGATATGCCACACCTGTGAGGTGGGATGGATTATCTCGGCAAAGGAGAAGTGCTCACTATCACAGATTTTTTCAGATTTGTGAACAATATTTGAGAGAAATGGTTATTTTGTGGTTATAGAAAATGTTTTAGATCTTTGAGTTCATCTCATGAAAAATGGGAGCAAAAACAAAAGTGTTGCATTTATATTTTTGTTCAGTGTATAATAAAATACAAAATAAAAAGTAGTGCAAAAAGTGTATACTGTATACATGTCAATATAATATAGGATATGTAGAAGAACAGAATATGAAATTAAATAATGTAAATTAAAACAAAATGAAATACGGTTTATTGCGGGAATGTTTATCGGGGCACTTAACAGAGCTCAAGTGTTGAGCAGTCTTATGGCCTGTGGGTTAGAACCTGAGTCATTGATTCTCCCATTCTGCAGATTTTGCTGGTCTATCAGATGAAGAGGGCTCCTCTGAGGTCTTCCTCACCACCGACAGTGACTACGACTCCAGCCGTGCTCAGAGTCCCCGGGAGCTGGATCTGCTGCCGGCCTCCCCGCTCTCCTCCTCCGCGCCGCTGGAGCCTCGCGGGTTCCTGCGTAGCGACGGCAGCAGCTCAGGAGGTGGGGGGTGTCTCGGTGGCGGGGGACGGGGCAGTGGGGCGCTGAGAGACTCCACTCCAGACGTCCTTCAGGCCTCCGAGCCGCAGCACGGGAGGGACGGCGAGCGGTGCGGAGGAGGAGGGCGATGTGGCGGGGAGAGGCGGAGGGGCGGCCCCGAGCTGTTCGACAGCGACTTCATCCTGCCCAGCCGGCAGATCGAGCTGCTGCACATCACAGAGAAGAGGCAGGCCTTCTGTGTGAGGACCAGCAGCCTGGAGTTCCCCTCCGCCCACCAGCCTTACTCCTACCACAGCTCCTGCCCCTCGCCCTCCACCTCGCCGCAGAGGAGATGTCACCGGCCATCGTCTGTGGATCGCTGTTGCCCGGCTGAGCGCTGCCTCCCGCATCTTCCACCGGCGCGTACGTTATCGCAAGACAGCGGCACGCAGAGACTCTCCTCGCTGTCGCCGGCCTCCCTCAGGAAAGGCTGCCACGCCACGCTCAAAGTTTACCCGCAGTATCACACAGGCCTGCCCAAGGAGACCAGTGTTAAGGTATATTTGTGTTGGGGCTGGGTGATAAGAAGATTATCATAGATAACAATATTCATGACCAAATACCTTGGCATCTTTAGGATACTGTAGGGTTGAAGATTGATTATTTCACAAAGTATTCACGCACTGACGACCGGAACGGTTCAGAAAATCACTTTACTGTAAACGAGCTTTTAAAACCAGGAAACTCTTACAATATCCAAGTTATCCACTTACATTCTGGATATTGTAAGAGTTTCCTGGTTTTAAAAGCTCGTTTACAGTAAAGTGATGTAGCCGTTTACCAATCGGTTGGTTGGGGGTTCAACCCTTTGGCAAGATAGTTTACCCAAGTTGCTCACGATGGGACGGCCATGGGCCTTAAGCAATGGCCCCTTGTATGGCACTCCTGCCTCTGTCTGAATGGGTGTGAATGCTGAGTTGCATAGGTAAAGGTGCTTTGAGGAAGAAAGCGCGATATGAATGCCCTCTACTCACCATATATTTCACAATACAATATATCATCTTGATATAGTCCAGCTGTAGTCTGTAGCGCTGAACGATATCTTTCCTTCCTGTGTTCCAGCTCTGTGTGACTCCAGGGACGCCGGCGCGGGAGATGGTGCAGCTGGTGGTGCAGGAGATGAACGTGGTGTCGCGGCGCATGCTCGGCAGCAGCGGGGGGGAACAGGAGCCGTGTGTGTACTACAGCCCCGAACAGATAAAGCACTTTGGCCTCGTGCTGGTGGTGGACAACAGAGAAAAGTGGCTTCAGGATGATTTCTGTCCCCTGGAGCTGCAGAACCCCTGGCTGAGGGGAAAACTGTGCGTCCGTATAAAGGAGTATTCACCACTAGCGCTCACACAAAGCCGGGCCACTACAGTCTGACACTTCCAGGAGAGAGACACTCAAGACCTTTACATTCTCTTGGGATAAATGTGTATAAAAATGAAGGAACTGTTACATTTGTACAAACAGGCCTACGATATTTTGTCCCACTGTGGTGTAATCATCCACAACTGCAGCTATAATATGTCATACTACTGCTGTGTGCTTGTCATCGGAGAAGTTTCTATGGAAGTACTGTATGTCTGAACTTTTTTTCAAAGACCCTCATATGGACACCAAATGAACAATAGCAAAATAGAACAAAGAGAAAATAGTTTCAGCGCTGTCAAGGATCATTTGGGAAAAGATTGTGATGGCGGACGAGATTAATGGAGCGTCACTTTGACTTCTGGCACGATTGACGACGGCACATGGAGGCGTTGCCAACAGAAAGTGGGCAGCGTCATCGTTGCAGCCACACGCGGACACAGATTTTTCTATGAACTCTCTCATTGTGTCATTCCCAAAGAGCTGTCGCCTGCAGCCGCCTGGCAACATGTCCCCAGGATGTGGGCGCTGGACCCGGACCAGAGGGTGGGTGGGGGGGGGCTGGCGTCTTAAACGGTGCAAACGCTTTCAACGATTTGGCCCGTCAGCCTGTCACTCAACTGCTTTTGGCCACTGTCTGGTAGCAAAGCAGCCAAGCAATGAAAAGTGAGCTTGATGAAGAGTGAGAGAGGAGGAGGAGGAGGAGGAGGAGGGCTGACGCTGCGTGTTTCAGAAACCTGGCGCGCTTCTTCTCGCAGCCCTCTGTATAGTAGACTCAGTCGTAGTGTAGCTAACACTAAACCAGCTCATTTGGATTTCCACCCCAGACAAAACAAAAGCAATACTTGACTCTTTTTTTTTGTTGTTTTTTTCTAATAGATGGGTCGAAAAAAAAGCATGTCAGCCTTCCAGAGTTGTGCTGATCTGAAGTACTGTAGTTCACGCTGTGCTAAAAGTTAACCAGTGTAGTGTTTTCGTTGTGTTTGGTTCAGTGGTATTCCCACATGCATCAGAAAGCGGTGCCCACCAGTCTAGAGCAGCGTCTCCCAGAGGGATTCTATTGTGAAAAGGGATGACTCTAGTTGTTAAGAGGCCCCGTGTTTGTTAGCAGAGTAACATATCGTATATTTATATTCCCAAAACACTGATGCAGGCATTGCACTTTTGGGGCAAAACACTAAATCTAACTTAACACAATAAATAAGGCCTCTTAACACTCCTTACCATCCTTTTTAGATATGTGTTGGGAACCTGTGCCAAGTTTGAATTCCTCTCCTCATTCAAAACCGTTTACATTGAACTCAGCATCCCAAACTGCAGGCTGTTGTGTTTTATTTATTATTTATCAACTATTTTGAAGCAAAAGATCAAAACTTTTCTCTCACCACCGGCTAAGCAACATCACACCGTTATAAGAACCTGCAGTATTTCCAAATGTAGCACCAGAAAGGTCCAGGAGAGGAGCGTTTGGACCTGGCCTCAGTCACTGTAGCATTCCAGGTTCCTGTCGCAGGGGGGCGTCTCAAAGTGTTTACACAGTTTCCTTACACTTTCCAAGATGTGTTTACGTGTAACTACTGTATAAAGATGTCTTGTGACAAACCGATGTTATAAGTTGTAATTGGTTTTTACTAAAAATGGCTTGAACTGTTGTGTTAACGCTTAGATGTCTTCTTTATTCTCGTTGTTAAAGGCAGTTTTTTTTTACAAGGACCAACTGCAAACAACAAAATCACACAACCAGAAAGCAAACCGTTGTACATAGACAGAGGAAGACCAGGAGATGAATGTACTGTATCTGCCCTAAATGTGAAAGGAGGCGAATGTGGGGCTGTCATCACTACTGAGGTCAAAGGTCAGTGAAGTTAGCGTCTGTCTTGAGATTAAGCTGAAGGGGGGGAGAGAGA